ATCTGCCCTGCTCTGTGCATGACAGGGGGCAGCGCCCCAACTCCCCAATCAGCCCTGCTCTGAGCCCGACCAGGGGCTGCACCTAGGGATTGGGCCTGCCCTCTGCCACCCGGGAGCAGGCCTAAGCCAGCAGGTCGTTATCTCCTGAGGGGTCCCAGACTGCGAGAGGGCACAGGCCGGGCTGAGGGACCCTCCCTTCCCCCTGAGTGCACAAATTTTTGTGCACCGGGCCTCTAGTATATATATAAAAATAGACCCAGAGTCATAGAAGCATGAACAGACTGTTGAACCAGAGAGGGAAGGCAGGGAGGCTGGGTGGGAAGCGATCAACCAATGAACTTGTATGCATATATGCATAACCTGTGGACACAGAAAAGGGGTGGTGAAGGCCTGGGAGGGGAGAGGACAGGAGCGCTGGAAGAGGTTAATGGGAGAAAAGGAGGACCTATGCAATACTTTCAACAATAAAGATTTTAAAAAACAAAAACAGTAATGAGGTTAGTTTTCCATAACAGAAACTAAAGGAAGTGTTCTTTATTCTGGGAGTGTATGTTTCCTCAGGTTTTGGGGTTATAATGTCCTTTGTTTAAGAGTGACGGTGATTACAGAGGGCACGTGCATGGCTGGCGGGCGGGTTAGGAACATACCTGATGACTCCCAGGAGCTCAGGTGCCAGCATGCCTCCCAGTTATGAGACCTGAACAGCAAGGGCACTGGTTAGCAGAGGCTCTCTACTCAGGGACGTGGCCCCTACCTCAGATGCTGCCCCTCTGGGATGCCAGGGCCCTGAAAGCAGCTTTGGGATAGGACGAAAGCAGGACTGAATGCGGGCAGAGACACCTGACACCTTTCCTCACGTTCCAAGGCTGAAGCTCAATCTTGGGTTCACACCCCATTGCGGGGTCACACCCAGTGGCCACAGCTAGTTCACACCCAAGCGCAGATTTCACACCCACTGCCAGGTTCACACTCCACTGCCAGGTTCACACCCACTGCCAGGTTCACACCCACTGCCAGTTCACACCCACTGCCAGGTTCACACCCCACTGCCAGGTTCACACCCACTGCCAGGTTCACACCCACTGCTACGGCTGGGTTCCACCCCACCCAGCCTGCCGTGTCCTCGGGAAGCAGGGAAACAGCACATGAGTCATGCTCTGGCACAGAGGCTGTCTCTGTTCTTACCTGGCATAAAAGGAGTGGCCATCAACCCTCTGTTGGCCTTTCTAATTTACTTTCATTTTACTGGTTTCAAAATTTGGAAGCATGGGAACGACTATAGCAAAAATCCAAAGGTCATTTCTGTGGAGTCCTGGAAAATAGTTCCTCATTGGGGGCACTAAACCTCTCTGAATAAAACTGCTGTTTTGACCATTTTCTCTTTCGCCCTTGCTGTGAGCTGAGGGTGAGCCGTGCCATGGGGCCCAGAAGCCCTCATTCCAACGAAGGTTTGAGAGCGCGGCCTTTCTGGCTGTGCTCTTTCTGGACGGGAAGAGGTTCTGCTGTGTTGGAGCGCATGTCACATGTGTGGAGTAAGGATGGGAGGAACCAGATGGGTTTCACAAATCAGTGAGAGCCTGAGACCCTTTGCAGTTCTGTTATGTTACGAAGAGCAGAGGACTAGAGTTTCTGGGGGAAGTTGACGCTGGTGGAATCTGTGTGTGTGGGGGAGAAATAGGCCACCCCAACCCCCGCCCAGTGCTCCAGATTTAAGGATCGTAGTCGTTTCTGAGTGACAGGAGGCGAGTGTCATGGCCCTAATTTCTGTGTTGGTTTTGTCTCCTAGGTTAGTCTGAATGATTCCCACAACCAGATGGTGGTGCACTGGGCCGGAGAGAAGAGCAACGTGATCGTGGCCTTGGCCCGAGACAGCCTGGCCTTGGCCCGCCCCCGGAGCAGTGACGTAAGTCTCGGTGTTTCTCGGGACCCTCTTCCTCTGTGCCGCCAGCATGTCCCTTTGTGATCTGCCAGGGTTCTCATTACAGAAAACAGCGGGTCATTGGAGAAGGGGTGGCATGAGTTACATCCAGAGAAGAGAATCCAGAAAATAATAAATGCCCCTCATTTGTTGACCACAGGGCCATGCAGTCAATTGCCAACGGATCATGTGATGTGTGATTACTTTTGCGAGGTGACAGGGCAGTCTGGTGGTTGTGTCTGTTCACAATGTCGGGAGTGCCTTCCGGGCAGAGTGTAGGTCTGCTCACAGCCCGGGAGAGCTCATGGCCCTTCTGTCCTTTCTCCCAACACCTTACAATTGGGTGCACTGTTGAATCAGATTCGCTCATATTCTTTTTTAAATTTTTATTTTTTAAAATTTGTACTTCTGTTAATCCTCACATGAGGGTATTTTCCCATTGATTTTTAGAGAGATTGGAAGGGAGGGGGAGAGCCAGAGAAAGAGAACCATCGATGTGAGAGAGACACATTGATTGGTTGTCTTCCACACACCCTGACCAGGGCCAGGGATTAAGCCTGCAACCAACACACGTGCCCTTGACCAGAATTGAGCCTGGGACCCTTCAGTCCAAGGGCCGATGCTCTATCCCCTGAGCCAAACCGGCCAGGGTGATTCGCTCATGTTCTTAATTCCCACAGTTGCCTTATACAGTGCTTAGCAGTTAGGTGCTTTGAAGACCCGAGATAAGCGCCACATACACGAAGGCCTGCGAGAGGCCCTGTCTCCATGCTGACGGCATTCTTTCCTCCACCAAGAATCATGGTCTCTCCCATTTTTCTTGCAGTACATGGCCCTCTGGGGCAGTATGTCATTTGTCCACTCTCAGTGGAGATGCAGGTTCAGGAAACGTTCCCTGGAACCTCGTCAAGCGTGGTGACTGGCACAGCCTCGGTGTCCAGGACACTGGGCATGGAAGGACTTTGCGAGCTGGAGCAGAGACTGCCCAGGCGTGACTCGCTCTGGGTGCCGAGTGGGAAGCAGGAGCAGGGCCCAGTGTTGCCAGATCTTCCAAAGTTTCGAGAGAAGCTCAGAGATTCGGATTTTTATATGAAAACTGCTGATTCTTATAGTTGGCAGCTAATGTGTAGTTCTTGCATACAACCTGTAAGCCAAGTAAAATGCATGAGGGCGGCTGGCCCTGGTCCTTCAGGCTGTGGCCTCTGCTCCAGACTCCCCCTCGCAGGGGGACAGGCACTCTGGTCACTGGGCGCTCTGGCCAGAGGACGCCTCCTGGGGAATAGCCAGCATGTCACGTCAGCCTAAGCACACAGTCGCCATTCCTGAGTCTGGACTTGATTCTGGGAGGTCCCACGTGTGTCCACTCTCTGAGTTGGATGTGCTCTTGGGTAGGGGGTGGGGGCGCCTGGAGGCAGCCCCAGGAGCTGTTTCCAGTGGAATCGGGGAACCTGCGGGCAGGGAGGGAGAGACAGGGCTGGACCGATGCACAGCTGTGTCCGTGGCGGGTGCGGAACCGGGGCCAGTGAGCGCCTGGACCGACAGCCACTCGGTGTGGTGGCCCGCAGCAGGCAAGCCTCGTGGGGCCATCTCTGTAGCCTGTTGACACATGCGGCCGGTGTGAAGCCCAGTCACAGTGTGCGGATGCCCGCTGGCCGTGGGGCTCTGTGGGCACCTGTGGGGGTCAGCATAGTCTCTGCCACAGGCATAGCCTCCGAGCGCAGGACGTGGCTCTGTGCCCTGCTATGCTGAGAAAGTCCTCCTTAGAGATGTTTTGTTGTTAATCCTCATCTAAGGATATTTTTCCCATTGATTTTTAGAGAGAGAGAGAGAGAGAGAGAGAGAGAGAAACATCTATGTGAGAGAGACACATCTATTGGTTGCCTCCTGCACACACCTGGACCAGGGCTGGGGATCGAACCTGCAACCCAGATATATACTCTTGACCAGGAATTAAACCTGAGACCCCTAGGTGTGAGGGCTCATGCTCTAACCATTGAGCACACCAGCCAGGGCTTTTTTAGAGTTTTTATGCAATCAAAAATTTTTCGCCTAGGTAATATTTTTTTGTGAGACAGGTAAAGACCTTCATGGTTGTTTTATGGTTTTGCTGGACAAACAGGAGATAGAGATAGTCAGTGACTCACATGAGGTTCCTTTGCGTGTCTGGGAGGTCTGGGGCTAATGAGAATTGATACTTGGCATGTGAGGATGTAATGTGTGTTTTTTTGTTTTGTTTTGTTTATATATATATATATTTTATTGATTTTTTACAGAGAGGAAGGGAGAGGGATAGAGAGTTAGAAACATCAATGAGAGAGAAACATCGACCAGCTGCCTCCTGTACACTCCCTACTGGGGATGTGCCCGCAACCAAGGTACATGCCCTTGACCAGAATCGAACCTGGGACCCTTGAGTCCACAGGCCGACGCTCTATCCACTGAGCCAAACCGGTCAGGGCGGATGTAGTGTTGCTCCGGGTGACCAGCTGGCCTGGGTTTCGGCACTGGGAGTCCCCATTTGGGACCACCCTCCGTCCCAGAGGAACCAGGGTGGTTGGTCACCTTGGTGTTGCCAGTCCCCATCCCAGTTCTTCCTCTGTGTGGATATTGGAGTGTATCTGGGAGGAAGCACTGGACATTGAAGTGATACACTGTCTGGAATGAAGGATGCCTACGAATAACGGGAAGGGAATCTAATGCTCGGGACAGTGAATAAGGGCGGCATGGGTACAGCTGCATTAAGGAATTGGCAGATGAAACTGAGATGTTCTGACGTGAAAAGTTAATGCAAAAATAAACGATGGCTCAGGTAGGAGCTGCTGGTGTCAAATTAGTGACATTCACGTCTCCTCTGGAGGAGCCTGGGTGTGAGGCCCGGCTGCGTCCCGGGGAAGCGAGCTGTGAGCGTTGGGATGGCCAGCGTGTGCACATTCAGAATAGAAAGGGCATGGACCTGGGGCGGGGATTGGAAGGTTTGCTATTAAACCAGGAACTCAGTGGGTGAACATGTTCTTCTTCTTTAATACTTACCCAGTTCTAACTAACTGATTGTTAATATCATCTACACTAATAAAAGAGAAACATGGTAATTGGCGTACGACCGCTACCCTTCCCATTGGCTAATCAGGGAGATATGCAAATTAACTGTCAGCCAAGATGGCGGCCGGCAGCCAGGCAGCTTGAAACTAACATGAGGCTTGCTTCCTTCAGTGACGGAGGAAACCAA